CTCTGCCAAGGTACAAACTGGTTTCTTTTTATTGTCCTTTTTTGTTTTGCAAACTCTATCGCCTCTGTTACACTGGTTTTAAAAGCCAAGTGCAAGTGCTAGGCAAAGAGCTACTGTCTGAAAAGGAACCCACCATTTGTCTTGGAAGCCTCCTTGTGCAAGAAGGCAAGTGCAGGGTCCTGCACCTAAGGAGGAATAAGCTCCGCCATGCACCAGTACAGGCTAGGGGCTGACCTGCTGGAAGGTAGCTCTGTGGAGGGGGACCCAAAGACTGCTGGTCAACAGCAAAGCTATGTCCGTGAGCCAGCAGCTGTGTGACCTTGTGGCCAAGGTGGTTAGTGGTATCCTGGGCTGCCTTAGGAACAGCACTGCCAGCAGGTTAAGGGAGGTGATCCTTCCTCTCTGCTCTGTCCCAGTGACACCTCACCTGTAGTACTGTCCCATTCTGGACTCCCAGTATAAGAGACATGGAGCTCCTGGAGCAAGTCCAGTAAAGAGCTACCAGAATTATTAAGGGCTGTCATACAAGGAAAGGCTGAGGAAGCTGTGCTTGCTCAGCCTAGAAAAGGGTCAGGGGGATCTGATCAAGGTGTGTAAGTAACTGAGGGGAAGGTGTCAGGGTAGGGCCAGACTCTTCCCAGTGGTGCCAGGTGATAGGACAAAAGGCAATGCATGTAAACTAAAACACAGGAAGTTCCACCTGAACATGAGGAGTTAACTTCTCTACTGTGAGGGTGACTGAGCACTGGAATAGGTTGCCCAGAGAGGTTGTGGAGTTTCCTTCTCTTGAGACATTCAAGAGTTGTCTGGACATAATCCTGAGTAATATGCTCTGGGTGATCCTACCTAATCAGGGAGGTTGGACTAGGTGACCTCCGGTGGTCCCTTCCAACCTCAAGCACTCTGTGATTCTGTGAATATAAATGTTTATCTGCTCCTAACATCTCTATCAAGCTAACTCATTTGTTTGTACATAGAGTCCCAACATTAGCTGACTCTCTACACCATTTCATTCCTCTCAACCTGCACCATACTGTGTAATCCTTTCAGACATGCCCTTTCACAAATACTACTGCCTCTTCCAGGCATAGATTCTGCTTCAGCTACACCTCCCTGTAGAGGAGATCTCTCTCCCAAGTACTCAGCACTCACTGTTTTGCTTCATACCCCACACAGAAGACTAACCATTTCATTATAGATAATTATGTACCTGAATTTACAAGATTTTGACCAATTCTACAGATACAGCCACACAGGCACTTGGGAGACACTGCCCCATTTTCTCATCCTTAGTTGCTGCTCATTTAGAGTCAAGTACTTCCTATTACAAGGACAGCAATGAATCCTTCCCCCGTGATGGCAAACAGAGCTGCTTGTTGGAATATCCGAGTATCTGGTTACTCCTAGCCTGTTACATCTTAAAATCCGTATCTCAGGCAACAAGAATTTCAAGGATGTTGCTCCTTGCCCTCTGCAGCACACATTTATGTGTCAAGTCGTATCAAAATAGAAGGGTATCTATTTTGGAACGAAAAAACTTTATATTGTGGGTCTCTAGGCACAGCTGCATTGGTACATACAACACAAATCCTTTACTTTAGTATTATTTTTAGCACTAGTCTCTCAGAAAGCAAAGCATATACCAGATACCGTCTGTAAAAGTTCCCTGGGGAAAATGGCAAAGCAAAGAGACAAAGTGGCGATAAGTATCTTGAGTCTACTACTGTTTTTCCACACTGCTACTATTATGGATGAATATGCATTTGTCTTTATTAATTTCATTGCAGTCTGGACAGGAAGCACTACAGACGCTTCTGTCTTCATAAAATGTGCTTTGATTAAAACTGAAGTGAAATTACATAATTAATTTATTTTTTTTTCTGGCCTAACCAGTAAGTACTTTTATCAGGATGGAGGAAGGGCACTGAGTGCTAACAAGAACCAAGAAGATCAATGTCCTTTTTTAACTCACAGGTCATATGTCATAGTATAAATACGGCACTGGCATCTGACAATTAGCAGTATCAGCTACAGCCTGCTGGAAACTCCATGGCTGTAAACTCCAACCCATCAGTGATACTGATCAGTCATATATTTTGTGGCAATTCACTGATTCTATTATTCCTGTACATTACTTCGTCACAGGTGGAGTAAGTCTACTTTTCTGGATGGTTTGGGGAAGTAAAAAAAATGTATACTTTGTGGCTTCATACACACATAGCTGCAGTTTCAAAATTACATATTTCAAAAGACAGCATGTTGAATACTTTGTTCACATGCCAAACCAGGCAAAGAAGAACTGAAAATGCTACTGACAAAATTGTTCTCTCTTCAATCCCACCTTATTGTTTCCACAGAATAATATAGTATTTTGAAGTGCAAAAACTCTAGGTTAGTTTTGAGCACAAACAAAGCTGGGTTTGAAAGACAACAGTAAGAAAATGTAAACATTAACATGCCTGCCTCTAAATACCTGTAAAACAAACTGAAGGACACAGTGTAAACACAGGTGACAGATCTGCTTGCTTTTGAGGACTTGGCTTTGTGTCTCCCAGTTTCACTCATTCACGTGTGTTCTTGAAGGAAAGCTCAATGAGACATTTTAAAAATCAGAGCCATAGTTTGATTTTGTGATTATCTCACCTTCCTAAAAAGTTCTCTTACTGTGGTAAGAATAAAGCATATCATCAATCCCATTGCTTGAGTTTTAGCTAGATTCCTAAAATGATTCTGGACCAAGGACTAAGGAACCATACCATTAAAATGCAGCTGTGTAGAGGATGTAAGAATAGGCAGCTATAGAACTAACATGACTTCAGAGTAGCTTTTTTAAATTAATGAGGCAATTAAACGTGCATCATGAATAGCTTCTCACTGAAGGAGATATTTAGAAGTTTTACAAGGAAAGTAAGGCCTCCAGTACCAAAACACAGGAAGAAATACTTTATTTTTGTAGCTACTGTTCCCAAAGCCCCGAGGAAACTGCTCCCAAAATCATTAAGACATCTGTAGCAAACAAGCAGAAAACCACTCTGCTCACAATTCCTAGTAGTACTTGGTAGAAAACAAGGCACAGCATATCTAGGCAGCTTGTTCAGATCGCACCTTCTCAATACCATACAAGTGCCATATATTTTGTCCCTTTTGGCAGCAACTACAAAGAGAGAAATCATTCTCCCTGGCAAGTATCCCACTATTGAACAGATTGAACAGTTTTTGCTAGCATGTAAGTTTAGACACCCATTGTACATCAGAAGTTGCATAAAGATCATCTCACTGCTGAAAAATGGGAACAGAATTACCAGCAAGGCTTCAGCCACAGCAGCTATAAACCTTTCAGTCATTCAGCACACAAAGTTACAAATCACCAAAGCTACTAGCATTTTTACAAAGATCAAGCTCAGTCTTTAATTCAAATATATTTCAGAATCAAAATTGGAGGGAGCGCACTGAAACACCCACAGACATTCGTGCTTTACTCTCCACACTTCTAGAGAAGGAATGGTTATTTCTGATGGCAGTTTGATCAGCACAGAAGACTCCCACAAACAAAAAAAACTTTTGCTTAGATATTAGCTATGTAGCAAAGTACATTCAAGAAGTCCTTGTATCAATTTGGCATTTTTCAAGTACCTGGCAGTTGGTCCTTTTACTTATTAACACCCTTTTGCCTGCCGAGTAATAAACCAAAAGTCATCTCTTCCAGTCCATAAATATACTGAGAATCCTAATTAGCAGAAATCTACTGGTTGATTCAGGTATTAATGTTAACCTCTCTAAAATTAAAGCATTATGAAAGACTTAATTTTCTGTTTAGTGATATGACACCTCCTACTGATAGATTTGGGTTGTACTACGGACTGCTTAGACATTATACACCAATGAAATTTTAAAAGAATAAAATCTGAATTATTGAAACACTATCTAGAAAAAACATCACAAATGTCTAAGGATAGAAAGAGAAAGTAAAAGGCTTTAATACGTTTCACTATTTTGTGCAGATAGTTATTTAACAGACTACAGACAACAATGAAGAAACAAATACAAACATTTCAGCATTTCTCATTCTCTTTTCTCAAGACACTTGGACTTGTACTTTGAGCATAAGTAGCAGTTAAGTAGTTAATCCACTGATTCATAACCTAAGCAGAAAATAATTATTTAGTTATACCACTAAATGGTTAATATCATTAGTGGTACAACATCTCTGTGCTGTACCACTAATACTTTCGTGGTTACTGCAGAGATAAATTTGTAATCCAGGTAACTGGAGTACAACAGTAAAACCACAAAATATCCCCAAGCAGTGTTTAAGAAATATTGCAGATAATAGCTTTAGATTAAACTAGAATTTGTTTTCATTGCTAGCATCGCAATGATGGGCAAAATTGTCTCCAAAATTCAATGTATTAGAAGGAATATTCTTACATTTTATGATGACTAAACAAAATACATGACAAGTAGGTACCAAGAGGTAAGATTCAAAACTCTGTAACTAGATCTTATTTTCAATGAAAGGTATTAATGAGTGCAGATTTTTTTGGGTTGGAACAGACTGACTGTTTGCTTGATACCTCCAGTAATGAACTAGTCTTCCTCATAAGGTGACTAAACCCAAGAAAAGTCTTTACTGAACAGAAATAGCTTGAGCATTACAACCTACTCAAGAGTAACAGAATGCAAATATCTTCCTACGCTTACAGCTGTACTGTAAAAGCTGGCTGAACAAAAATGAAGCTTGCATTTCTTTTGCTGGCAGAAAAAAAAAGAATATTCAATTCACAAGAGTGCATATAACAAAACCAAACATGCAATTACTTGTTTTTAAAACTTTTACTGCAACATAACATTGAGGTGAATAGTAATTCTGCAAAACAAAAGATGTAAACAGGATAGTAATTTTACCTGTACGCATATAGCTTCTCAGATCATTTAAGAGGGGCAAAGAAGGGTATGGTGTTTCTCAATGATTAAAACTGAATGATTCTCAATGATTAAAAAACTGAAATAGATTTTCATTTGGAAAAAAGCCAACATTACTTTAATCCAGCATTAAGCGAAATACTGTGTTTCTTGCACTGCCTTAACAGACCTTAAAAGCAAAACAACTACCCATTATTTTGGCATTCATGTTTACATTTGCTCAATCTTTTAGATTTCACAAAGCTGCTATCCAGTGTTGCCACAAAATACAGATTGTAGAACCTAGTAGCGCAGGCTACTTTCCATACCAATACTAAGTAGAAAAGAACATGAAGCAGGGCATTACACTACATTGCTGGAACTAGTACACGGTAAGAATGAACACCTAGAAAAAGTTAACCTACAGTTTAGAGAAGGAACTAATTGTCTGCAGGAGCTGATTTTTGGTTGTATATTATTTTTTGTTTTCTGCATCCGCTAATTTAAAGCAGACACACTTGCTGCTTTCTTTGTTCTGCTGCCTATATTATCTTCTTTGCCCCTCCCCATATACCATACACCAAGCATTATGAATGTAAGCCCAAAATCCCAGACAATCGAGTGAGCAAATTTAGTGTAATGCACTGGTGTGAGATGTGAAACAAGAAAGTGTTTCTCAATCTTCGTCAAAGTTCTGTTGTAGGAGAAAGTTGGCAGCCAAGTTTTCATTCTTCTCACAAGCAAAATACGCCTGTATCACAAGTCCTTCAGGAAATCCTAATGCCTTTAACTGAAGAAAAGAAACACATTTAGAAAATACGTTTTGTATATTAAGCTTTTTTATATGTCTAGTATCTTGATACGCAACTTCAACAGTTACTACCTTCTTGAAACAAAAATTGCTGCCTAGCTCAATATATAAAGGCTTCTGTGAGTGAAGAATGTGTTGCCTCTGTGAACAGAATTCTCACTTGAAAAAGTGATTTGAATGAGTCTAGTGAAGCAACATAAAATGTACCACTTACTTCACTGCACAGTAAGTTACTAGAACAGCCTTAGGTCACAGTAAGGAAGTAACAGCACACTGCATTGCTGCAGAATAAAAACTTCAAATACTGTCCATTTAAAACTATTAATTATATGACACCCAAGATTTTTAATATGAATTGCCTGAAACAAAAGTTCCCATCCTGTGGTTAGCAGTATGTAGCCCAACACATTACATTAAGCCATACTTTCAATTGTTCCAACTGGACTTTCTGTAAGGCTAACTATGCAATGAAGCCATAAGAAGTAAGGTGAGAGCAATCTGTTTTTTGTAAGTCAAAGAACTACTTGATGTCTGGGATACGATAACAATTCAGAATGAGAATACTAGGGACGAGCTTATTCCTGTGCTAAGGGAAACAGGTTTAGCCTGCACTTAAAGGCACTCAGCAAACCAATTGCCAATTTTTAACCTAAAGGCAGATACATGCAACCATTTGGAGATTTTCTTAAAATCATCACAGCACCTGCAAGGCATTTTACATACATGGCAGATCAAATTTCTGTAAGAAATAATGTCCTATTGCCCATTATTAACCTTTCTTAGATTTAACTTCATACTTACAAACAGCATGAATGTGTCAGCTGTAATACTAAGACACCTAAATTTTGAGGTGTGTCTTTCACAGAAAATTGAAGAAGCACACAACCTGTGAAGAGGTTGTAGAGGCAATACTCTACTGCATAAAATAGTTCTAACGGAAATGCAGCAGACTAGAGAGGATGATCTGTGAAGAAATACATGGACAGTTTTACTAGACTAATTTTACTATTTGTCGATTTCCTAGAGATCTAGAGAACTGACACCTATACTAAAATAGTTCTTTTACTCACATAACCATTTGCTTTGGCACTTGAAAAAAACAGTACCAAAGGACGACACTGCAATTTGTCCTAAGAAAAATCTCAGAGGCATTACCATCTATGCAAATATGTATTTAGTCAGTGTTACACACAGTATTTATGCATGTAATATACCACCCCCAAATGTGTTTTTACAGACACGTTTACCCACATTTTTAGAAAGCTATAATTAACTAATTCTCATGGATAGACAAATAACTGGGTTAAGTAGCGATTTCAACTAATCTACTTAACTATGAGAGCTCTTACTATCCAAGTACTTTGCAAACAGTGCTCATGCAGATACACCTTTATACCTGGAAACCTCTCACAGTACATTCCACAATAGTACTATCTGAAGCTTTTCCAAGTGAAATTACTGCCTGAGTTCCCATTCCTGAAGAAAATCGATTCAACCACCACAGGGTGTGATCACTTAAAGGTACTACAACTTCTCAGTAACAGAGGTTCAAGAGATTTCAGACTCAACTGCTATAAAGCAAGAAGAAATGTGACTTGAAACAAGACTACATCAGCTATGAAATATCAAATATAAAAAATTATGCAGATCTACTGAGTATAAACAAACTTTAAGTTAAGGCATGTCTTAAGCAAGTACCCTACAGCAACAGCCAAGCAACATTTCAAATAAAAAAAGGCCCACCCTTTCTATAGCTTCTTTTTCCTGAGGTGTTACTTGAATGTAGTTCATGTGACCACTTCCAGCTTCTGCTAGTCCTCCAGTGCTGGCACCATCATCACTGCCAGCTAAACCTTGGCGAGACTCCAAAACTGGCTCATTCAACATATGAATAAAGTGTTCCTGGTGTTGGCTTATTTGCTGCAACGCATGGGAGAATAAAATAAGTAAATATATTGAAATAAAACATGTTTAAGCCTGCCAACAGCAAGTAAGAATATTTATTTTCAGTGAATTAAGTAGTCAAAAGAATATGGAAAAACTTCATAAAGAAGTGATATAAGAAACTCAACTTTATGTTTCAGTTCAGTTGCAGTGACCCTTCCCTCTGCCTGATGCCCTCTGCATCTCTTCTAAAGAGACTGAGACCCACTTCTGATGTCATAGAAAACACATTCTATACAGCAACAGCTGCTGAAAAGCCAACAGTAGAACGTTACAGCTGTTATTAACAAACTATTACTAACAAACGTAACCTTTTCTTGTAAAGCTAAATCAAAACTAGCAGGATTATTTTGTTCTTTCAAGATTCACCTGCAGTAGTTGAGGGTTCTCCCTTCCAATCTGCTGTAGCAATGCTGGTAACAGAGAAGGATTTTGCTGAATAATTTGTCTCATCTGCTGGAACTGAGGCTGATTTCGTAAAAACTCGAGTGGATGTCCTGGAAAATGAATGAAACAGCTTGTGTTTTTAAGTTACAGATTCTTCATAAAATACATACCTAAACCATAACTGTTGATAGAATCAAGACATGAAAATGGGCAATACACCCCTCACTAAGCAATATAAAAGCTTGCTTCCTCACACTAACTTACTCTAGCTTTAAGAAAGAATTCTTTATACTATGGTTAAATAATTTTTATTTTTTTTCACCCAGCCTTCTGCCCTTTATCTCCAGCACTTTTTACGTCTCATCTCTGAGTGACCTCATTCAGAGGCAACTACCCAGCTTACTGTTTTGTCTCTATGCCTATAAGAGCTCTCTTCCTCCTGCAGTAGATCAGTTCTGTCCTTCACAAGTGAGTCTTGACTTCCCATGTATCCTATACTTAGGTACTGCCTTGAACACAGCAGTGTCTAAAGTGGTCCACAATACTCCATTTCCCCCATTCTCTCCTTATGGATGATATCTTGTATGCTTGTCACTTCTACCTATATGTTTGAAACTGCCTTCTATCTTGAATGTCGTATCTCTGCCACACCCTAAGACAGACCTTTCCTAGTTCTTGATTATGCTCCTTTTTCATATGTATTTCCTTAAGACAATTCTCTTCAGGCACCAACCACTCTGCCATGTGCTGCACTGATAAGTGAGGAGTCCCAGGTCCTGGATAGGTCTCTTGGGTGCCACACCTCACAGAGTTACTGAAAGTTTATTCCTTGATATTCCAATTTCTAAGCAGTAAATGCATTAGGATAGTCAGCTGACAATGCAATTAGCCACAGAAGTAGGAAGCCAGAATTTAAAGTGAGAGAAAACACCATCCCCACATTTATGGTTTCACATTTAAATCCAGAATATTGAATCAAAGGAACTGTGTAAGTTCACAGCATTTTTAGAAGCTTCATGCTTTATTCCAGATATATCCACATACAACAAGCCATTAATTCCAAGCAAGTACCAGAACTGGAATTTCTGTGTTGCAGCTCTTATCCAGTTCACTCTGATCAGTTCACAAGCACCAGGAACTTAAAACTCCCAGAAGAAGAGAATGCTGAAGCACAAGTTTTTCACAACCTATCAAATAATAACCTTTCTTACCTCCCAACGAACTAGTAGTTGTAGGTATAGTTGCTACAGCTGCTGCCACTGCTGAAGACTGAGAGGCACCACTGCTTGCTGCTGGAGGAGGGGGTTCAGCCGCAGCCTGATTATCTCTGGGTATGCCCTAAAGCCACAGTTCACAAAATTAATCTACAAAATGCTGAAAGATACTTGTTTCACTGCATGTTATTTTTTTAATTTAAGAATGAAGAAAAACATTAATGCTTTCACTGCAAAGACAAAGCAAGATGCTGTGATAGGTATGCATTTATAACTGAAAGAATACTGTGAAAAGAGTAACTTATTTTTTTACAAGAAAAATGTAGGTTGTGTAGTGAGGTAGTAAAGTATGCACTACATCAGTTAAAAATGCATTTTACTCTGTAAACAAATATGTGCTTTGCACCCTGCTAAGATATTTGATATGAGTGAAAAAGTTGAACTAAATATACTATGTTATAGTGTTTTGCAAATAAAGTTACAACAGAATTGTACACAATGCCAATACTGAGGTTACAGATGCCATACAATCTGGCAAGTAATTAAAAAGGGACGTAAGAGCATTGCTATTTGGACCTCTTTCTTTAACACAACAGTGTGACAAATGTCATTTACTGTATCTTGAGTGGGTATAGGCCTGTATGTTACCAACTAGTGGCAGTTTAAAAAAGCTGACTTGCATTTTGTTTATTTTCCATTTGCAAACAAACTTAATACAGGAACTAGTTGCTCAAGAGAATGAAATTGATTAATCTGAAAAAAGAACAATTACAGTAAACTAGAATGTGGGTTATAGAACAGAGACAGACCTTACCCCTATTGCCTTTCTCCTGCATGGGAGTCCTTCAAATTTCATACCCTAACCATGCTTGCCCCTCTGTCAGTGAAGTTCTACACCAAATTTATCCTTTCCATCCTCCTTCCTGAAACCTAGGAATTTGGACAGTCTGGCATGGAAGACACCAAGAAAGACTGACTACGAATCCTGCTGATACAGGCAAAGGAAGTTGACTGGCAAGAATGAAAAAGAGGCAGATTACAGAGCAGTAAACCTCCTGATACACACAGAATCATAGTGGCAGGCGCTATGTTAAAGCCATCCCCAAAAGGGCAAGACAATACAAGATCCTCTACCTCACAATACTCAGTTTCTATGGCATCAAAAAAATTGGGGTTTTTTTCTACAGTCTTCCAGTATGTTAAATCCAGCTAAGTCTGAGAAGGCAGCAGAATTGGTATAACTATATATTTCACCTACCTTGAAGGCGGCATCCTTCAGTTTGGGAATGATAAAACATAGGGAACAGGGTGGGTGGAAATATATCACAAAACTTCAGTGTAACCAGACAATGAAGAGGTTTGGCAAGCCTACCATAGAAATCACTGGTAAATAATGCAGATTAAAAATCCCGCTATAACATATTCTTCATATGCTACATTCATCACCACAGCTGAACAAAAAAGATAAATACACAGCTAATATAAAGGCTGCATCTAGAAAGGGAGAAATGGATGGTGTCCCAGGCAAAACTTTGCTTCACCTGTGAGATAAGAAGCACATCGAAGTATAAAATCAGCTAATCAGCAAGTCTACATTTAAGTCTCTCAGAGGGATAAATTCAAGTATTACCTGTCACACACTTCATTACCATTATACAGCTTGGTCAGCTTGCTACACATCCTTTCCTCTGCAGAGCAGGAAGAAAATTCCATTCATAACATAATTGAGGTAACTCACTCTTATCAATACCTTACAGAGCACTGCTTAAAAACATTTTCTCATAGAATCAGTAATTTCAGGGAATCTAAGTATAATGTCAGAACGTGGATTAATTTTAGGAAATTACTGGTTGATTTCACCTATTCACAGGCGTATGTTGAGACTGTGATCTGTGCCCAGATCAAACAACATATGCTTGTTTAAACCTTAAACTTGCTCTTGAATGAAAGTACTATGGAAACTAGTTCAACCAAATTCACTTTGAAATTATTTGTCATCTTGAACAGCACTTAACTCTTAAATACAAGCTTGCAGTTGCACTCTCCGAACAAGCAACACTATGTGCAACTGTTCTCTTAAAAGACTAGTGAAGTGTATGCATCTTGTTCATATAGCTATCCAACAGAATAACAATTAATTTTGAATGTAAATATTGCTCGGACAGCAAAAGGGCCATTTTTTGTACCTTACAGTGGATTAAAAAATTGTTTACTGTTTAATTGAGCACCAGAGCAGTTTTTAGCTGGCAGTGCTCTCTGCTGAGGAATAATCACATCAGGCCCAGCACAAAGAATGTAACACAATTAAAACAGAACAGTTCCAGTTGGAAGGGACCTACAGTGATCATCTAGACCAACTACTTGACTACTTCAGGCCTCACCAAAAGTTAAAGCATGTTATTAAGGGCACTGTCCAAATGCCTCAAAGACTGACAGGCATGGGGCATCAACCACCTCTCTAGGAAGCCTGTTCAGTGTTTGACCATCCTCACAGTAAAAGAAATGTTTCCTAAAAATTTCCAGACTACAAGGCTACAACCAACAGCCTGGTTGTTGAAGGAAAAATGGGATTCCTTCTTAAGGGTTAGGAAATCCTTGGGTCAAAAGGAGGTCTGAATTCAAATGACTCCAAAGATCAATCTGCGGCACAGAAAAAGCAATGGCGCCTTTTGAAATTGAGACCTCCTTCCATGATGACAGCTCAAGGACATAGGATTACACCTAGATCATCAGCTGTGAAGCCATGGAAACTGAAGAGCTTGTAATGTGAATCATGGACTAGTGGAATCTTTCAGGTCTCATTTAAGCAACAGCTACATGTTAAGATACTCTACTGACACTTTCTTTCCAGCATTTTATAGCTACCTCTGATGTACTAATTCTTTAAACTGGGACAGTGGTATACACTTAGAGCTCTCAGCACCCTAATCCTACTCTGCATATTGTATAAAAGATAACACTGATGATAGTTTGAAGGTAGGCAGAGGGTCAAAGAACAGTGTCATCAATGGATGAGTATTAACTGAAGAAAAGCTGCTCTAATGCAGCAGAATGGTAAGGGACATGTTTAGACCTAGCAGACCAAGAGCATTTGAAAGACTGCAACAACAGGATTTTTCTAGGACAATATAAGTCTGTCATCTTATAGGGTCTCTTAAGAGCAAGAGTGTCACTCACTAATCCCTCTTCCATCAGCAAGAGGAAGAATAAGGGAAAGACACTTTCAGTAAAGGATAACATGAAACAGAAAAGGACCAGCTTATGCAGCAGATGGACCCCTCTCAAATACAAAACCTAGTGAAGCAATAGAAATGAACTGTTCAGACTAGTCAGACTAAATCCATTTGGCAGACATGCCATGTGTTGAAATCCATCATAGGGATGCTCTATTTCTATCCTGGACTTCCTGAACGGGAATAAAGTAGAGCAGGGAAATGCCAGACTGAGCGTACAAGTACTGCACACTGTACCTGACTGACAAAGTCCAGCACTTACAGAAGGCAGTGGATTTATGATAGATGTACAGAGTAAATGAGCAGCAAAATCCGTGGTTTTAAGGTATGAAAAACAAACATTTGATTCTAGACAGTTGATATTCCAGACTAATAGCAGGTAGATGTGAGCCACTGCATTTGCCCTTAGGGCAAGACAATATGTATCACCTTTTATTTGCCTTATAGCAGATGAGAACTGAACTTTTTACATTCATGCACTCAAAACATTTGTTGTCTAAAATCTGCAGATTACGAAATCTTGGGATCATTAACGTACGTAGCAAGCATGCCAGTGACTTGCAGTTGTTAAATTAAGTCTTTCTTTAGCAGTTACAAAAGGGAAGCTTTATAACAGGAGCTAAAGATGACAGTTTTCTTATCAGTCTATCAGAAATTCAATCCACACGTATTTTGTAAGAACTGGTTCAAGATATCTGGCTTCAAGAGTTTAATAAAGTTCAGATTTGGAGCAAGGAAAAAGCACATCAGTGAAAAACTGGTATGCTAGGGAAAAAACTAAAAACTTAAAACTAAAGAAATACTGATTAAGAAACAAGTTCCCGAAGAGATTCTCTGCGACACAGACAATACACCTGTCAGATTATGGCATACAATGAGAAGTAATCAAAAAAATCCCCTAAACCAACAAGATTTTAATTAAAGTGACATTTTCTATTTCTTCTCATGCCAATGAAGTTCATTTCACCCTTCAAACTCTATATACCAAATGAGAAATTATTTCTTCTCCAAAACACTGCTTAAATTAAAACACCAATTAAATTAAAAATGCTTCAAAAAAACTTTAAAATATTTGTTTGGGAAGTCTATTATCTAGAACACTGTGCATTACTAGTAAAAACAATGAACTGGAACGTCAAAAAAAGGCCTTTGTGCCATTATAGATACTAATATAAAATTTATGGTGACAGCTAATGCTGTCACCAAGATGTGATGAAATCATTCTTTGGGCCAGCCACTGGCAGTTAAAACTATCACTGTAACTGGACACACTTCACATACATATCCATACAGATCAACAAAGAATAAAAGCAAAGTAGCGATAGAAGCAGTTAGGCATAACTTCATCTGGGAGTCTGAGATTTGGATTTTGAGGGTTATAACAGATGCTCTGTTGTTATTTCTCTATGAACATGCATTACCCTAACTGATTGGCTAATACTCAAAACAACCAAGCAAATCATAGTTAAAATTATTCTCTAGTGAGGACAAAATAAAGTGAAAGAACAAGGTGCAGATAAAAAAATGCTCACCATTAAAAGGTATTCCACTGCTCTGTCAGGATTGTTGAAGCTAGCCCGCAGCGCTGCAATTACTTGCTCTCGTTCATAGCCCATTGACATGATCTCAGTCACCATATTCTCATAGGACTGACCTGTTACTAGAAGTAACATGACCACCATATTAAGGGAATAAGGCAAAAAAGGCACAAAAAAGTTTCAATGGATAAATTTCATTTCTACCCAAATCCGAGTCACTCGTTGAAGAGTAAAGAATAGCTTGTATTAAACTTGCCATGGTTCAGTTGCTTTAACCCCAAATATATTGGGTTTTTTTCATTATGCATTAGATTAGAATCATAGAAGGTAACAAACACGATGCAAACTCCTATTGAGAAAAGCAGCACTTGTGATACTTCTGTGTTTATAACTGAAATAATATTCCCTATGATTTTATCTAAGGTCAAGGGCATCCTCAATACTGAATTCTTGATGTAATCAAGAAAAGTCTCTAAGAGTGTAAATTTGAAATTAAACTTTCTAGGCAGAAATCTGCCTTTGAAACTGTTAGCTATTGAGGTGTTTCTAAGTGCAGACTTTATGCTATGGTTAGATAGATGATAAATAGTGACAACCAAGTTACAACTGTGTATTTCTCCTGCTGCTTGCTGTTGATGACCAAAGTAATTTAATCAATTTAATATGGACCAACTCAAGTCAGGCAGAAGACTTAAAGTTAGGGTAAATGAGAACAAGTTATTTCATTTAATTCATGTATATTTTACTAGGCATCCATCACATCAAATCCCCCACCTCTTACAGCATAAATGGACTAAAATTGGCCCATACCTGCAACTAACAAGAGAGAAGCGTACACACACTATGTATGTATCAGCTGAAGTACAACTGATCCCTCCACTAATGGTATTGTACGGATAATCACTATCTCTTTTCACAACCCATTTTTTCCTCTTTCTTAAAAGCAAGTACAGCAAATTCAACAAAATTGAAAAAAAAAATAAGTACCCTATTATGAATTTTAATTAAGTAATATCTTAAAGGTTATCTTCCCATGCAAAACCAGAAGTGTGTGTGTACAGAAGCAATAAAACAAGCCAAAATACCATGTCCTCCATTGGATAAAGGTATTCCTCATTTCAGTGGAACCCTAATACTGACTTCAACACTAGCAAGTTAGTGGCAGGAGAGTTACATAATTATCAGTCACCATCAGCATAACACATTAAAAAAAGTAGAGGAAACGAATGCTGTTAGAGCTACTCCTTTAAGATAAGTAAGTCACAATTAGCAGAACCAAGTAAAACCTCAAGTTTTATTCCCTTTGGGAGAAGGAGCTGAACTCAAGCCAACATTAACATAACCACATTGCTTGATTTTTAAAGGATGCTTCTAAGTAGTCAGTAAATGTATGACTGAGGGCAAAATAATAAAAAAATAATAAAACAGCCCTAGCCCAAGCATACTTGTGCATTATCTATAAACAATGGATCTATAACCCTTTACTAATTTGAGTATTACTGTTCAGTTCTCAGAATCATAGTGCTGACCTGAGTTTAAGGAACTGTAAGTTCATGTCTGCATATAAAACTATCATTTTACATCTACCTTCATTTTTTCAAAGACATAAAAAAAAAAAAATCCCCTAAACTTCACTCTAAAGATACATATTTCTGTACGTATTTTCAGAGAAGCAAAAAAGCCAAGTCAATAACTGTCCCAACACAATGGTTTTGCTAAACTTAATACTCACGTCCTTTCTTAGACAACTCTAGTTTAGCTTGTTTAGTTTGTTTTAGCTAACAAACCTACCAAGGCAAACAGCAGACAGAACACCTTTTGATCTAATTACTTAGCATTTAAACCTTTCTGCAGCACTCTTTCAGTGTAAGCTAGGTAGAGACTAGAACAGTATGAAGTATTTGGTAAAAAAAAAAAAAAAACCCTGCAAAAAGGTCAACTTCCTGTGGACAGACTGCTACATAAGCCATAATTAAAAGCCAAAGAAGAAAAAGGAATTACTGTGAATTTAGGCACATGCACTTCATATACAGTCTGCTTACACAAGTCATGCAAAATAAGACGAAGAATAATAATTCAGGAATTGAACACCATCAATGTCATGATATAGAGTCATGCCTACCTCTACATACTGCTACTGGGAATGTGAGGACAATGCTGAACTGATTCTGCTTTTTGCTTTTGTCTTTTGAAAGAACATTTTAAAGCTGGATTAACTTTCAAATTCCAGTTCATCACACTCCCCACAGTAATTCTTGTCCAATGCCCTAAATAAAGCTTAGGCTGCTCCAGTGAAAGATACAGTTGCACAGGAACTGCAAGATGTGCAGATCCTCATGCAGCACACAAAGCCACATGAGTTTTCAGTCAGCATATCTAACTGAAAACAAAAGCAAATTTGTAGAAATCAATCCCTGTTTTTAAAGTGAAGTCAATTATCTTCAGAAAATGTAATTGAGAAGCCATAGTAAGAGCATGCCTAGGATCCTACTTAGGACAACACTAAATAAATTTGCGCAAGCAAATTCCTTTTAAGACAGATTCTAAAGAAAAAGGACCACAGAGTTCATGCCTATTGTCTTTGACATTTTTTTGGCATCTAACCCTTGCAGTATGCTTACCCAGGAAATTACACTTAATGCCTGGGTATTTTCAAACTGTTAGGGACACGTGGGTTTACTGTACCAGATACCAATCAGAGAACTTTAATATAAAATGCATAATGAGGTGATGCTCACACTGAAAGATTTTTTTTTCTGAGGACCATCACCTTAAACAAACTTGTTAGACATTACTGTTAACATGTATTTGTGATGACCAAATCTTGGCCACTAAGGTATAATGAATGCTTAATGAAGCCTTCAGCTTCTCTGATAGTAGCACTTTAAAACTGTAATGGAACTTGACTGGTTGTCTCCTACAGTATCTATAAGCTATTTCAGCTCATCTATTTCTTCAGCCTAAAACGGTATGTCGTAACATAAGACCTAAGCTGCAAATAGACAGACTAAACCTTGTGGCTACCACCAGTGTGCGTAAATCATTACTGCTGCTCCTAAATCACTCTGGGCTGCTTAATCACAACACCTACCTCCAATATATCAACGCACCCCTACACAAAAAATATAAGTGAAACTCTTTAATCAGTGTGCAACTCTTTGTACCAAGTTGCAGCTTAATGTTTACAGAAGTAAGACAAAGTAAAAAAAACACCTCCCTCTTATTTTTGTGTCTTAAAATGCTACACACAAAAAAAGTCCCCTCTGAAAAATTTAAGTAGGAGTTGTGGGTTTGACTAGTAATTTCCTACCTACCAGAATCAGCATAAATGTGGGGCAGAACTTCCTACCTATTGTTTTTACCATGTTTATTCCAGAGATAAACAAAGACATTTAAAATGTCAAAAGAAAAGTCAACTGACTGTAAGTACACAAAAGCATTCATTCCTCAACCCAGATAGCACTTAATTTATCTAATCTAAATACGTCAAAAGACAGCATTGTCAAACGTGGAACATGAATAATAAAGGCAGCCATTTTATCAAACCTGCACACTGAGAAGCAAAGGTGAAAAGTATATACATATTTACATCCAGTCTTCTATTCAAGCTACTTCAAGCTGAAGAGAAATTAAGGCATATTGGGGAAAAAAAAGAGAACAGGAATTATAAGGATCTTCTCCTTTTACACAATAAAACTATATGAGGTGCAACATTCTTCAGTAAAGAAGTTCTTGATGCTGATTCTAAGGTATCAACTTCAGGTCTTAAGAATACTTTGATTATAACTTAACAATGACAGATACAGAGGAGAATGTCAGTATCTGCTAATCCGTCATTTGTTTCTGCTGCACAAAAATAATGTCTACATTAAAAAAACACTCCACTTACCAAGTGCACTTATAGCATCCTCAAAAAGATTTGATCGAGATGTATCACCTGTTGTACTGTAAGATGAAGACAAGTGCAATGGTAATTACAAAACTTTGGAAAACTTCCTGTTTTTCAAAAAAGCAGCAGCAGCTGTAACTCTAATAGCCCCTTTTGTTTCTAAAAAACAACAAAGCTTTCCAAAGAGCTCTCTCTTAATAGTGAGATCAGACTTTACAAACTTACAAACCTTCCCACTACCCCCCAGTAGTTTGGCTCTTGCCCATCTGCTCAAGGATTGGCCATTTGTTTGAATGATTTAAAGGGTGGAAGAACAACGTAGATTTTCAAAGCACATAGCAGTCTCACTAACTGCTTCCCCACAGTTGCTGGTTTGACCTCAATGCGGAATATAAACTGCTAACATTTGCAATTACCCCATCTCAAGTTATCAAAGCTGTTAAAGGATTAAAGGCTCATCTCCATGAGCACCAAGGAACACAAAGGCACAACCCCAGGCAGAGAAACTTCAGTTAACACAGAGACAAGAATGCCCCTTTCCTGGCTCCTTCCAGGGCTGCCACTGAAAGCACCAGCCCCTTGGTCTCAGGGTGACACTCTGATGGGTCAACAGGAGAGGCTCTCCAGGTCTCCACACATACCAAAGGGCACTACTGCCTACAGGGTAGTGCAACGCACCATGGGGTGCCAGAAAAAACCACCTGGCAATTGCGCAAGACTTATTATGGGATATCATGGGGAAGAACCAAAGACAGGTGAACAGAAAAATCAAGGCACCCTACAGGTGAAAAGCATGGCTGAATAGAAAAAAAAAAAACAACCCCCAAAAACAGGGGGGTGGGAAGAAAATGGGCCACAGTCACATGTAAACAGCACCTCCTGGCCATGCTCTGCACCTGACTACCAGTCCATCCTGCCTTCTAATTAAATTCCATTTCCAAGTACCATAACTATTTTTCATGCTGGGGGTGTCTGTATTCTACATGCGTGTGTATAGAAGTCTTAATTGCCCACAGCTGGACACTGATCAGTGAGCCACAGAGCTCCACATGCCTGTGAAGCCAGCAACTGCAGAGACCAGACACTGTGGAAGTCTCAGTGCCAGCAACTGGGAAAGCAACCAAGGCCTCTGTATGTGCCTGAGGTGTTGGCAGCTGAAGGGACGAGACATACGTATTCTGTGTGGAGGCAAACACTGGCATGTGTGTAATCACCCGCAAGCATCAAGCTTGACTACAGTAAGTAGGATTGATGCTTGAGAGCTGTTTATTGACTGGCTGTAAATTAAGAGCCAGTTGCCACAATGACTGGAGTGTCTGAAGAGGAGCTCCTGGAAAGACTGTAACGTCAAAGGGTCAGAGACTGGTAAGGTTATAGGTCTCAACCAGCTAGTGAAGAGATATGCTCATATGGCAATGAATGAGGCAACTGGGAGACCAGAGGGGACTAGCTACCAGGTTCAGTGAGTATCTACAGTCAGCTCCTGGATTTATCCTCTGTGTGTGTGCACGCATACATATGCATGCAAAGAGCATCTGAGTATCAGCAACTGGAATGGGGTTGCAGGGCTCAGGCTGTCACACACCCAGGTGTCAAAAACCTAAGAGACTGGGAGATTTAGGGGCCAGGTATTGAAATAGACTAAGGCCAGCTACTGGACAAATTTGTATGGTTCATTTGTATGCCTGTGCATATGTATTCTGCACTCGTAGGCTTTGCCTTCAGTAGCCCGAGGTGAACAAAATGCAACTGCTGTGCTGTATGGTTAAGTGCCCTTTGTTTCACGCTTGTGTTAACCTTTACAGCCAGCCATACATATAGGTATATACATGCTGTGTGTATGTACTGGGAATAAGCATTCAGTCTTGATACCTGATAGGCCTGGGGCCATGGAGCTGCATTAGCCCCGCATCTATCAGCTACCAGATCTGACAACTCCTATCAGCAAATGAAAGATAATCAGATTAATCTGAAAGAGTTTTCTGAAGATGCCACTAAAATACCTAACGAGATATTTACAGAGATGCATTAAGAAAAAAAATATTAGTTCCAACAAGAATGCTTCACTAGTATGAATTATAACCAAAAAAGATCAAAGTGAAACAAGACACCAGCTTGCCTGGCCATGGTTCAATATGCCTTCACCAGACTCAGTAATTTAATTGCTAAAGCAAATCAGAAACAAGCAGTACTCACTGAAATTAAGGCAGGTGGTAACTACAATGTATTTGTAAATTACCTCTTGCCTCCTTTTAGGTATGTAAGGCTTCCTTACCGCAGTTTTACATACTGCAATCTGTACATGGAAAACCTGGAAAGCACTTGTTTTAGTATTAAATATTAGACTGATCTTTGAACCTACTGGACAAGCTGAGCAGCAAAAAAAACAAAAAACAAAAACGCAGCCATTAACATAAAAAAAATGTAAATTTATTCAACTGATAAATAAAGCTTCATTTGTATTCTATTTTAAAGATATGTCTATTCCTCAGAATTCCAAAATTAAATCATCGATCAGGCTATCGAATACAAGAAATTTGTGATATTTTCAAAATATTAGGCAACTGCAAGTTTTGTTTCCTTATCATCAGTATTTGATAGTGTTTAAATACAACCACTTCAAAGATCAATCTCTTGTGCACCACATAAATAACACACAGATCGAAAACCAGCGTATGAGAATGTATAATGCTATGTAGCACTGCAAGTGCCATTACAGTTAATAGCATTTTTATCCTGTGCAAACTTAAGCAACTTAAAGTGAGCAAAATAAGCCACAGTATACAACAGGGATGAAACTTCTAATTTCCATTTGCTTTTCTTAAGTGTAGAGAATTTAGGTTAAAAACCACCCCAGCTCCCACAGCTATCTGCAGATGCGTCAAAGAACATTCAGAACAAATAAGACATTACATTATTAAGAGCAATACTGCATTTTGGGATAACAAACAAACAAAACCCCACAAACAAGAAAAAAAAAGCCCCAACCAACCAAACAAAAAAGCACCCACCAAAAACCACTCTTTCCAGAAATTAAGAGATTCTTACAACAATAGAGAACTTATTGATTTAAGTCTAACTAGCAAGACTTAAAACACAATCAGAGGTCTATGAACAGGAGAGGCCATGCTCCTCTAAGTCTTTTAAGAGCTTTATGAGTAGATCTCCATGCAGGTGAATATCCTCAGTCTCAAAAGAAACTTGTGCCCCAGTAACTCTGAAATGCCTAACAGGAGTACAATCCCGTGTCATGCAAGTCTCCACTCCATAGGTTTAGTCACAAGATCACATTTCCCACCAGAGAAGGTGTAAGCAGTGAGGGACACTTCTTACCAGCATATTGTAATGGTATATTTGAGCCAAAGCCTGAAGTTACAGGTAAGAAAAAGGAAAAATTACACAGAACTGAGAAAATGACTGAACTAATACTGTAATGGAAAACTCAACAAAACCAAAACTAGAAGCAATAGAAATGGACAGGGAAAGCATTTTTGGAGTCTCATTTGTACCTGTCAGTTGATGATGGACTGACAGCAGCTGGTGCCTCAGGTAGCTCTTCTGCTAGCCTCTCTTCTTTAGGATCACTCACAGGTTCTGATTCACAGGCAACTACATCTGGTGCTGGTGGTAGAGGAACAGGAGCTGGTACAGGGGCAGCATCAGGGAGTGGTGCAGTGACTGGTGTGGGAGCTGCAATCGTTGAGCTAGTCGCAGTAGTAGCATTCGACTGCTGAGTTGCTCCAGCTGCTGCTTTGGCCTACAGGAGGACAAAAGAATTCAGAGCACAAAGCTCCTAAACTCATGCTTTCTACAGTCAACGTACCAATTAAGTTCTGTTAAAACCATTTATATTTGACACTGCCGCCTCAACATCCAGCATAACATTAAAACATTGAAAACATTAGGTCTATAACGTACCAATGTGTTTAAACAGGTGACTGACAGGGTCAATAAAGTAAATAATTATACACCTAAGAAGAAATACACTATTTGAGCATGAAGTAAAATGCAAAGTTAAGACTAAATATTCACAGATCGCAATATTTTAAATGTGAAAACAACCTTGCATTTTACAAAACCACATTTTTCAGAAGCAACTAAGATGGCTGTCTAAAAGACATCTGACAGGTGTAACAAGCATAAGGTTTTGTCACCACTCAAATCTGGAAAAAAGTTCTAAAGTCAGAAATCACATTTCATCATGAATGCTATCTGGATCGGCGTTGGAACCAGTCGTGTTCATGTTTGTCAGTGACATGGACAGTGGGATTGCGTGCGCCCTCAGCAAGTTTGCCAATGACACCAAGCTGTGTGGTTCGGTTGATACGCTGGAGGGAAGGAATGCCATCCAGAGGGACCTCAACATGCTTGTAAGGTGGGCTGATGCCAACCTTATGAAGTTTAACCATGCCAAGTGCAAGGTCCTATACATGGGTCGGAGCAATCCCAGGCACAGCTACAGGTTGGGCACAGAAGAGATTCAGAGCAGCCCTGCAGAGAAGGATTTGGGGGTGCTGGTCAATGGAAAATGAACATGAGCTGGCTTCAGTGTGTGCGCTCGCAGCCCAGAAAGCCAACCATATCCTGGGCTGCATCAAAAGGAGTGTGACCAGCAGGTCGAAGGAGGTGATCCTGCCCCTTTATTCTGCTCTTGTGAGACCTCACTTGGAGTATTATGTGCACTTCTGGTGTCCTCAATGTAAAAAAGGACATGGAACTGTTGGAACACGTCCAGAGGAGGGCCACCAGGATGATCAGGGGACTGGAGCCCCTCCTGTATGAAGACAGGCTGAGAAAGTTGGGGCTGTTCAGCCTGGAGAAGAGAAGGCTGCGTGGAGACCTCATAGCAGCCTTCCAGTATCTGAAGGGGGTCTATAGGGATGCTGGGGAGGGACTCTTCATTAGGGACTGTAGTGATAGGACAAGGGGTAACAGGTTCAAACTTAAACAGGGGAAGTTTAGATTGGATATAAGGAAGAAGTTCTTTACTGTGAGGGTGGTGAGGCACTGGAATGGGTTGCCCAAGAAGTTGTGAATGCTCCACCCCTAGTGGTGTTCAAGGCCAGGTTGGACAAGGCCTTGGGTGACATGGTTTAGTGTAAGGTGTCCCTGCCCACAGCAGACGGGTTGGAACTAGATGATCTTAAGGTGCTTTCCAACCCTCACTATTCTATGATTCTATGATAAATAACATTACACATACTTGAGTTCCACAGTGAGCACCAAAAATCCAGTAGAATCAAGGACTACCAAATCTGTATCAATAGAGTGGTTAAGACTAGCTTATAACTGTGACTTATCTTCACATCTCTATTGGAAACATGAATTTTGGTTGGGTGCAGTATTAATCCTATTATATAGAAATTACACTTTTCAGAATGCATGTAACTTTCAGCTAAAGTAAAAGATTATGTTCTTGAAAGCTGTGTCCTATGACTATCATTGAGTGACAAGCCTGACCCCATCTATGCCTTACCGAGAGAAACAGCTGAACTTCAACAAAACACAACTACTTATTCAAGGGGAATCACTTTCAGACAATGTTTGCTTAAAGTAAGAAAGATATATTTCCTCCTTTTGTCTAAAGGAAAGGGGAGGCTGAAAGCGAATGGCTTTCAAAATGACTTGCAAAATAAAGAGCATTTTAAGAAGCATTCAAAAAAAACACACACATGTCTGAGCATCAGACAAAGTTCGTGGTTGTGCTTATGTGACAGGGCATGTCTTATCTAGAAAAGAATCAAACAAAGCGAAACTGAGGTCAAAAGACTTAACAGAAAGACTTTAACACTGAAGAAATGCCCAAGTCCAAAACACAAGTCCTTTTTAATATAAGGTACTGCATTTAACAGGTCTTCATGGAGATCTCTGTTTCTTCTGCTATAAGCAAAATGCAAGCTGTACTCTGAAATCCCATCTGCACCTGTTTTCTTACACTGATAAATGCCTCTTCTCCACACAACCCACAGATTAAAACACTCTTTCTTCAGGAAGACAGCAGTAACAGTTAAATTCATACAGAGAATCTAATGAGCCAAGCCAAATAGAAATGAAGGGCAAATAAATGTGTTTTCTTTAACAGGAAGACTTCTAACTCCAAAATTAGCGTATCTCATGACAGAGATTAAGTCAGTTTTATTCAGATCCCAAAGGTCTGAAGTGCCTAGAAAATCAGTGGCTTGATTCCAGAAGCAATCTCTCAAGTGGTTAAGAGGAGATACTTCAAATACACGCCACATGACTGTTTGCCACTGCAGTCATCCAAAACTCACGGGTTTGTTGACTGGCATAGGTATCCTTTCTTTAGTGGTTTAAGCTGTTGAGTTTGACAAAAGAGACAGCTATGAGTTTTGAAAAGCAACATGGCAAGACTGGAAGAGACTATACAGAGAATTTAGACTATAGAATAGAATAGCAGAATTCTAATAATAGAATTTAGACTATACAGAGAATTTAGTAACAAATGTTCCCTTTCCCCTTTTAATAATAAAATATAGAAAGACAATAAAGAAAAAACAATAAAATCAGCCACTGACAAATTTTGTCTTCAATGTAAACATTCAGCACAGAACAAATGTAACAATCAGCATAGGCCAGCTAGAACTTTGGAGTAATATTTCATATCTATTCATACAAGCATTTATTTTTACTGTTGACAAAATCTTTCACATAATCAAACTCGACTTGTTTTAAGGATAGGCACATACAATTACTTACCACAATTAAAAGAAAAATAATACAACTGCTTTTTCCAAGATAATTACTCACTTTTGTCACCATAACAACCACAAAGTTCTTCTCATCTATTTTGTATTCCTTAAGAGCAGTATCATCATTAAGGATTTTACCTGGCAAATTAAACAAATATAAATTAAGAAGTTATTAAACAGATCATTAGATGATCTCAAGATTCCTTCACAAAGTTCAAATAGAAGCCTGTAAAAAACACATTTTACGCAGATTAATAACCTTGCAAAAAGTGGTTTAAGTATTAAGCTTTGGCAGTAGAGCTGCCATAATTTTCCTCCTATGGTGCCAACACGACTAGTTAGCTTGAAGGCTGTTGCTCCAAGTGTTGAAGATGCTTCAAATAATTCAAAAGAGAAGCATTAAATACCTAGCAAAAGATTTATTGGACCTTTTAACACAGATACAAGTAATGTAGACAAAAAGCTTCAGCATAAAATAATCTTAATTAAGCAATTTATGACTGCTTACACATGCTAGACACAGGAAGAAAATTCCTTTCTGCTTTTGTTTGCTGTTCAGATGCAGTAAACTACTTACAGTTCCCGGAGTATGCCACAGACTAAGTTTATCTGCATACATTTGGGACTTTGCAACTTTAACAATTTAAAAGAAGGCTAAAGCTTCAGAAAAAGTGAGAAACATTCCATATCCTGCCACCTTGACAGTTGAAAGTAAATAAATAAATAAATAGATAAGATCAGGGGAAAAAAATCTTCTGAAGCTTCATACTCAAGAGACAGTCCTGTGGTGAAGCTGATTTGTCTCATGCTTAGAAGAACTGAGAAATACATTAAACCACAGACTTTTTTTTTTCTTAAACAGAAGCTCATCTAGAGGCAGTACCGTAAATCAGAACACTACATGTATTTCACACCACTTCCCCATTTCAAAAGGAGAATTTTCATAACCACTCTCAGTGCTAGTGGAATACACCACTTAACTGTGTATAGCAGGATACAATATTATCCTGATGACTGCAGAGAAAGCAAGCAACATAAGCACATTATGACACTTCGAAAACAGATGAGGTGCCACTGTCTTACTCTACTGGTTCCACCAGTCTTGCAGGTCAAATACTGAATATATTATATGTACTGTAGCAGTAGTAATACCTGCAGCAGATGGTGCAGCATCTGACTCAGAACCTACACAGGTTTCCTTACAATTTTCAGGTTTATAGGCACTTTGGGGAAAAAGCTTGCACAATGTGTATATGCAGACATCCTACACTTTCAGGACACACCACTCACAGGGTTTCTAAACTTTACCCTAGTAAAGACAACACAACAGATCTATCCCACCTCTTATTAACATAACTTTGTAAAAAAAAATGCAAGCATTTTTTAATGATAAATTGTATACTTTTATACTTTTACATTCAGCTGGGATATTACTCTCCTTTACCAAAGTACAAAAATTTGAAAGCTCATTTTTATCAAAGTAAAAATGTCATCAATGCACCTTTGTCATATCTCTTGCCCAAGAAAAAAAAATAAAAACCAAAATCATTTTTCGTATAGTCTTCGATTTTGAATCTTACTTCCTAATGTTTGTGAGGATTATGCAATGCTGAAGATAAATTCAGGCTTCTAAAAATACCACATCATATGGTCATATGCATATGTTTTTATTAATCACAGAAATGTAGTATTAAGAGCATCATGCAATTATACATATCGCACAAGGCCTTCTGCCTTGTTCATATTTGTTTCTATACATGACTTTCACCTTCCTGTTCTTGAGGTACATTCCATTCACTGAAGCACATGGGACATAAAACTTGCTAAGAAACATAGTCCTAAAGAGTCCACACGAACACAGAGAGACTCCAACTTCTGTTCCATTAGCATCTTTCTATTGTGATTAGCGGCATTAGCTTCATAGAAGTGGAAAAGTAATGCTGTTTACAAAGCAGTACACTGAAGAAGTAAAAAAAAACAAAACACCAGAACTTCTTTCAAGCACAATTTGAGAGGAAAAAGCACTAGAGCAGGTATTGGAATAGAATTTTAACTTCTGAAATGAAGTAAGAACAAAAAACCCTGGAACTATGTATGAGTACCGGAATGGACCAGCCAGGTAGAAAACAGTAAAAGAAAAAAAACCTGCCTAAAAATATTAGAACTATGTTAGCTCAAATAAAGTAACTTTGTGTCTTTAACATTAGCCTGCTCTTTAGTGACATAGATTAAAAGTATTGAAAGTACCTTAGCATACGAAACATTTGGTGCTGGGTTTCTTTTGTTAATACATAAGAAATAAGATTATTAATTCTGAGATATAGCACAAATGCTTCAGCTATACACAGCATAAACCGTACAAAACACAGTTAACTCAGAACATCAGATATGATCTGCTTAAATACCAATTTCTTTTAACAAAAGCTATTTCCACTTCACTAAGCACACCTCATCCAGCACTAAAGCTGCTAGCATATCACGCTGCAAGAGCAAAGATAAAAACAGACAACATGTATTAAAACCTGAACAATTCTGATTCAAAATTAAGAGTTCCCTTTGACAATGGATTTGTTATTTGTTTTTATGGGGCTCTTTGTTTGTTTTCTAGCCTGTTTGCATTTCAGTACTTATAATCTTTAGAAGACTTAACATTCACATCAAAATCAAACAATAACATAAAAAACAACATAGATTCATATACGGTATCTTCAGAATATTCATTACCTGCATAAATCAGTTTTTGGCCAGCTACTGGAAAAGCATCTTTCCCCCTTTCTGACTCAATCTTCTCTTTCAGTTCCTTCACCTGAATAACAAAAACATTCTTAATGAGGGGAAATAAAAAAAAACAACAACTTTCATAATACAAACCGGTTTATGTACATTTAGTTCCAAGTTTTAAACCCTGAAAGGTTGTTTTCAGTCGTATTTCATGTCAAGTACATCACTCTTCAAATATACCACTCTAATCTCTTGAACAGCAATGTGTTCTCTTCCAAATAGTGCTTAGTGCTTTACCAAATTGTAAGTAATTTCTCCATGAGAAGTCTATATACTAGTTTAAAATACAGTGGAAAAAAAAGAGAAATTGGGCAAAAATGCTTTTGACCCATTTCCTCTCCCTGTTATTTCTCTGAATGCAGGGTGGTACAGATGCTATATACAGCTCACTGCTTTCTTCATCAAATGACTCTTCAGAGAATGTGTTTCTACAATAAGATCACCATGACATTCAATTTCATTCACTGCAATGACTTCAAGCCTTGATATGAAGAAACTCGTGCAAACTGTCAAGTTGTTAATATTCTGTAAGTTGTTTTCAACTCTTTCCCCTCTGGAGCTCTGCACATCAATTTTAAGCTTTCACAGGAAAGTGTTTTGTCTTATTTACTTGCTTATACAGATCTCTGCCATAGTCAACATTTTAGAAAACCACATACAATAGCTCAAATGACACTGAGTATCAAAATGTCCATATCCTATAGAAAGGCTGCATAATGCTATACCAAGAAGATAAAGGATGCTCTTTTAGAAGCATTTCGTATCGATACATTTGAAATCGTATTTTAAGACAAGCCGCCTATATACAAACATTAAATATTCCTGACACACACTCCAAATATGTGTAGAATAAACAAAAGCAATATGTTATAAACTTATTACTTCAAAATAACTCAATTTTCTAAAGTTTTTTCCTCCTGAATATTCATAAGCTTTTTTTCTTGAAACACCGCAATCAAGATGCGTGTACCTAGCTATAATCAGACTGACAACTACTTGTGCCACAGGCAACCTTTGTATTACCATTTTTGTTAACTTTTAAAGCCGTAGCTCACTATTAGGGTTGCTCAAGTAGTAAATACTCTGGAATAGTATCTTAAGGTGCAAAGTGGTAAATATTTACTGAGAAATGGAGCTTTGTGATTCTCAGCATAATTAAAATCTGTTATCCACATTTAAGTCGTGCTTCTTGTCTTCACTTTATTCTTCTGTTCATGGTATCTTAAACCTTTGTGTTACCTTTTCCTTCATTGGTCCCATCACTTCTCCCTCTCAGGTATTTTCCCACGTTTCTGTATCAGTCTCTTCATCAGGGTAATGCTTTCAGTTTGGATGTTTGTTCCAAGAGGGTTAAACCAAACTTTTTACACTCACAATGGAGCTTCATCTTTTCAGCAGTACACACACAAAAAAAATAAGTTTGTTTTACCAGGCTTTAGGACCCAGCAAACGAGGCTGGCAGAATCAACCTCTTCAGTAAACTTACACCTGATGTAGGTGATTAAATCACTAGCCACACAAGGATACAGAACACAACACAATTTCCCTCTGTGGAACTACACCAATAGGAAGCCAGTTCTTTTCCCCCAGCAGATGAGGAAGAATGCTATTACACATACCATCCCAGCACCTGATAAAAGCTTTAGAAATGGTCTCCACTCAGCCAGTTGCTTTTCCACAGCAAAACTAATAGCAGCTTACTGCCATCCCCAAGTCATAAGGCAGTCAAACCACTGTTCATTTTAATAATAATTTGCTGATCACCACTCTCATGTGCTTACTTTATGCAAGTCCGTTCTACCCCTGGATTTATGTTCATTTTTAAAGAGTATTTCCCGGCAAGCTAGGAAACTAATTTGTGAATTCCTTCTCAATTAGCATTCAAGGTCAGAAGTCACTCAAAACTTAAGTCTCCTTAGGCCACAGAGAAGCCATCAAGCAGCGCTTCATCCCTCTGATAATTTTTGTGGCCCTCATCTGGACCATCTCCAACACGTCCACGTCTCTCCAGCAGTACTGCAGGTAGGGTCTCACCAGAGAAGAGGGGCAGAATCACCTCCCTCAACCTACTGGCCATGCTCCTTTGGATGCACACATCTGCAAACTTGTGGAGGGTGCACCTGATCCCACTCTGTGTCACTGATGAAGGTATTAAACAGAACAGGTCTCAACACAGACTCCTGAGGGATGCACCACTTGTCACTGATCTCCATCTGGACATTGAGCCATCGATCACTGCCTTCAGGATGCAACTGACCATCCAGCCAATTCTTTATCCACTGAAACAGCCTACCCATCAAATCCATATCTCTCCAGTCCAGAGAGAAGGATGCTGTGGGGGACTGTATCAGAGACTTTACGCAAGAACAGACAGATGACACCTGTAGCTCTTCCCTTGTCCACTGATACAGCCATTGCATCACAGGAGGTCACTAGGTTGGCCAGGCAGGACTTGACCACAGTGAAGCCATGTTGGCTGTCTCAAATCACTTCCCTGCTCTCCATGTGCCATAGTGGGGCTCCTAGAAGGATCTGTTCCACGATCTTCCCAGGCACAAAGGTGAGGTTGACAGGTCAGTAGTTCCCAGAGTCTTCAATTCTACCCTTCTGAAAAGTGGGTGCACTATTTCCCTTCTTCCAGTCACCAGGGACCTTGCCTGGCTTCCATGACTTCTCATCATGGAGTGGGTTGGCAACTACATCAGTCAATTCCCTCAGGATTCTGGGATCCATCTTGTCACATCCCATAGACTTAGCTATGTTCAGGTTCCTCTGGTGGTCATAAGCCTGATGTTACAGTGTGATCGACTTTGTTCCCCCATTCCCTGTCTTGCTGTTTATCCACTTGAGAGGTGTGGTAAGAGAAGCTGCCAGTGAAAACAGGCAAAGTTGTGGAGTACCTCAACCTTTTCATCTGTTGTTACCCGTTTGCCAGTTGTGTTTATCCAGGGAGGTACACTTTCTTTACCCCTCGTTTTCTGACTGGTATAACTATAAAAGCCCTTATTATTGTCCCCCATGCAAAGTTTTGTTCTGGTCAGGCCTTGGACTTCCTGGCCCCTTTCCTGCACAGCCAGGCAGCGTCCTTACACTCTTCCCAGAATACATGCCCTTGCTTTCACTCCCTGTGCATTTCCTTCTTGCCCTTTTAGTTCGACCAGTAGGTCTCCACTCATCCATGCCAGTCTCTTGCCTTCCCCTTCCTTTCCTGATTTCTTAGAACTGGGGATTGGGAGCTCTGGTGCTCTATAGAAAGTGTCCTTAAAGATCTGCCAGCGCTGTTCTGCTCCTTTCTTCATGTGGGCAGTTTCCCAGAGGTTCTACTGACTAACTCCATGAACAGCTTAATATCTCCTCCCACGGCCCTTAAAAGCATATTTACCACACATTACACTGCCATATAGACATTGTTCAGTCAGGTCTGGATGATGCAGCTGTAGCAGACAATAAACCAGCTAATGAAGCAACAAACTGACCAGTGCAACACATTTTACTACCCTTATTCAAACACCAGGATCAGCAACAGATTAATGGCATATATTGTGCCTACTACTGAAATGTCCAGAGGATAAGAAACTACTTAGCTTGTAACTAAATGCTTTGTAGTAGCTTTAATTACAAGAACACATTTGATTCTAGCTACTTCTACAAATAATAAAAAGCAGATTTTGCTGGCACAAACTTATACTTACAGTAATTTCTTATACTGTCTTCCTAAACAGGACACTCATATTCAGCCAGGAGACTGCCTAGATGGTTGTATGAACAGACTGCTGCCCTACTTCAGGCTCCAAAGGCATAAGAGATAGAGTAAGAGAGCAGGACCATAGGAGAGGAAGCTATTTTTGAATAGTCAGGTTTACAAGATTAGTGAATGACTGGTGAAAAAGAAAATTACTCAACTAAACAATGCATTTAAAATTACTCCAGTATTTTAAAACAGCCTCACAGACAATATAAAGCATTCATAAACTTCTGTATTTGCTACTTGCATTTACTGTGCTGAAGTTTATATACAAAAAAAGCAGCTGCATTGTCTGGAAGATAAATAGTCTGGAATTGGCAAGGTACAAATCCAAATTTAGCCCTGACATTTACTTCTTGAGCAATTACCTCTGCCTTTCCAATTTACTCTCCAAAATTGAGCTCATCTACACCTAGCTGAAGCTCATCAGTCTAGTATTTGCTGATATTCATTGCCTAGAGATCAACATATTAATTGCTCATCTCAAAGTTAGCCTCTGCACAGTTCTACCCTGCATTTCAAAATTCATCTAAGTCCTGTTTAAAAGAGAAGACACTAGGGTCAGTTCTGTGATGCTAAACAGTGACTGAAAGTCTATAAGCTCCATCATTTAGATAGACTTTAGTTATCTTTAGTTTAGTTACATTTAGCTGCATACATGCAGCTCTGTACTAACAAATGAACACACAGATTAAAGCAAACCTTTTAGCAACAAGGTAAATAAAGCTCAGCTATCTGTATCTTCCAAAAACACAGGAAGACACAGAATCATAGAATGAACTAGGTTGGAAAAGACCTTTAAGATCATCAATTCCAACCTTTACACTAGCACTGCCAAGGCCACTACTAAACCATGTTTTTTTAACACTTCCAGGGATGGTGGTTCCACCACTTCCCTGGGCAGCCTATTCCAATGCCTGAGCACCCTCTCAGGGAAGAAATTTTTGCCTGATATCCAACCTAAACCTTCCCTGGTGCTGCTTGAGGCCACTGCCTCTTGTCCTATCTCTTGTTATGTGGGACAAGAGACTGATCCTCACTGCACTACAACCTCCTTTCAGGTAGCTGTACATGGCTACTGACAGCTCGAGTGCTCCCTCTGAACCCACTAGTGCTTGTTTTAAGGAGAAAGCTTACTTTCTCTGCCATCCATGGTCACACTAATTAGCATATACGACCATCCAGTACCTTTAAGCAATTTCTAGAACAAGGATCATTCTCTACAAAGTGATTTATAAGTGTAAAAGCAATACAGTTGTTTGAGTACAAACAAAACTGAT